CACAATTGCCCACAAGAGACACAGATGAATATAACACAATCACATACTGTCGAGTTATGAACTGTGGCTGGTACCATGCCATTTTCTGTGAGCAAACGTCATTACCAGAACGGCAAAAGGCCGGTCCCATCAAAATGTTGAATTTCTTTTTTAGCCTTCACACGTAGGAATAGTTGCCACTGACCTAGTTTCTTATGACAGCTAGATCCATTTTCGTGGCCTAGGTTTGGAGCGATGGCTGAAATTCCAAAGCAGAAATTCATGGCCAGGCCTTAGAGTGTCTGCAGGAACTTGGAAGAAGTTCAAGGATATTTAAATTTCTACCAGCAAACAGTCTTTTTTGTCCAGAGGAAAAAGAAATCACCCCCTGTCACAGAGTAGGAGAGGTAATAGGCAGAGTAGGAATAGATCCAAGAGGGGGATTTTAATAAGTTTGGTAGCATAGATTCTTTGGGTGGGGGGCAAAATACGATTAATTTGGTGATAGTGTTAATCTGAAATTTGACTACTGTTCAGTGAAATTGTGTATACTTAAAGAAGAGGTAATTTGTGACAGGTGACAGGGTTCAGAAGGCTTGTCCCCAGTGGCAGGAGTCAATTTGAAACAGGTGGATGGCCACAGTTACTCGCCTTATGGTAAAATAATGTTCTGTTACGTGTGCTGTTAGTATATCATATTTCACTAAGAGCCGGCTGTGTCTTACAGACTTCATCTAACTAATTCTTATGGCATCCCTGAAAAGCAGGCCACGCATGGAAAACTGCTTCACTCCTCCAGGCCTGGCAAAGTTCATGAATTCTTAATAGGAAAATACAAATGTAAATATAAAATAAATTTTAAAAAATTTTATACTGCAGAGGCAGGGAGAATTTTAAGAGACACTAGCAGAAGCTGGGAAGGGATGAGGTAATTAACAATGATGTGAAATTCAAACCTGCAGAAAAGGGATTTGGGGAGAAACTAACAAAGGCCCTTACTGTGGAAAAGCAGAAACCATAGGTGCTTTAATGGTGAGAGAGAGAGACAGACAGAGAGACAAACAGCAAGAGCAATGACTGCGTGACAGTTCTTATACAATTAGGTATTGTTCACACAGAAAGGTTACTGCCTTGTTAGATTGGCTGAATGTTCATCTAATTCCTGTTTTTAATGGAAACATCTTACTAATTACTCATCACAACAACCACTACCTCATAAACGGGTGCTTATGCAGTACCAGAACGGTCTACTAACAGTCACGTGGTCTTTTCAAAGTCTTTGATGCCTACTTTCTCTCATTCTTGTCTACCTACGAGGTCCTCAGTGCCAAGTGATTTTCAGAAGTCACAGAGTGGGGAAAGCTCGGGAAGTCAGGCAGGCCCAGCGCTGTCTATTGGGAAAACTCTGCTCACGCCCACTGTGTTAGCTGCGGCCTCTCGAGGCAGACAGGGAAACTGGTTGCATTTATAGGGGCTAAGAATGAAAATCCTTAAACCTAGTCTACACTCTAAACCCCTGAATTAAGCACAGGCATTGCTGGGAGCAAAGGGAGGAGACAAAGAAGGGCATTAAAAGAATCCATGTGCAATCTAATACCTGGTGTGACTCGTTTTCCTCTTCCATACTCCTGGAAGGGTATGGCATGCAGTGTTCTAATGGGGCATACGTCACTGGCGCCCAGTGCACTCCCTCTCTGGGTATTGTTTTACCATGGTTTTCTTGTGATTGCTCTTGTCCATACATAGGCAGTCCTTGTCTGACCAAGAGCATGGTGCTGATATTTGTCTCAGTCAGTCATTGGGCTTCCTCTCCTGAGATACAGTCCAAGCTGCCCAAGGCATTGACTTGGAAGGCAACTGGAGTGTGACCACTCAGCGTGACATCCACAGGTCCCCTTTCTACTAATGTCCTGTTCGGGTGTTTCCCATTGGAAAGAGCTCTCCTCCTGTGAGCTGTTCCACCAGGAGCTGGCGGGACTGTCCCCAACCTTAGTGGAAGCTCAAACTTCCAGCATCCATCCCGGCAGGCTTTAATTTCAGGCATGAATTCTCATGCTAACACTTCATAGCAGCAAGATTTGGGGGAAGTCAAATTAAACATTAATGAGCAACTTTCTAAGTTTTGATTTATCTAGTCTATGAAGAAACACACAGCTGACTAACAAGCAACCTGGCCAGAAAGCTTCATGTGCTTGCAGCAGCCTACTTCTAGGGCAAAGAGATAAATAAGTCCACCTCAGCTTGGGGGTTTCTTTTGTAACCTGTTAGAAAGCTCCTTTCCCTCCTCTACCTGTTCACCTGATCCACATGCTTCCTCTCCTTACCATCGCAGCATTTTAGGCTAATGGAAACGCTTTCACAGAGGATACTGTAATCTTCCCGTGAGCCTGCGAAGAAGGTAGGTTTCTATCTTATTCTTACTTTACAGAGATGGAAATTAGTACTTCGAGAATTTTTTTAAGTGACTTGCCTCAAATCTCCAGCTCCTAAGTAGAGCCAATTCTGAAACCCACGGATTCTGGCTCAAATCCTCCGTCCTTGTCCCATGGCCCACAGCACTGAGGTCACCGATGACCCCATCGATAATCCAAATGATGACTCCAAGTCTGGACAAGATCTTCAAAGAGTGATTCTGTTTGATCCTTCCATTGCATTGGCAAAGTGGGTTGGAAATCTGTAGGGTCGCCCCCCCAACCCCGTCATAAATAAAACAGCACTGGTCACAGAATGTCCCATTTCCTAAACACTGCCAGTTAAGTCTACGCCCTGCTCGTTCATATGGCTGTAGAGAAATTTGCCATTTGGAGGAAGGAATAGAAGAGCTGTCGCAGAAACTTAAAACAGCCTACAGCAGGAAACGAGCAAAGCCATCGTATATTATAATCCTGTTTCTGTCTCCAAGGAGCAAACTCAAAAACAGACGCCTGTGGCTTTAAGAGAAACAGTCATATTGGGAGACGTTACAGGTGCAGAGGAAAAGCGTGATTTCCACCCTCGGTTCAGGGTGTTCCCACGGGCGTGGGTCTGCTTCCAATGGCAGTGGCCTTGGCTTTGGAGTATGTGATATCTGGTATTATTATTGGGTAGAAATAATGCAGGCAGGAAAGCAGGGGCCCCTTCTAGGGAATCTTCGTGCCCTATAAAGCAACCATCACCTCATTGGGGTAGCAGGCACAGGGAGGAGGTGGCTCAGGGCCATTGCAAAGGCCCTGCTCTGCCCATTTCCTTCCTCAGTCCCCCTTTTCTTCCTCTCTGGCAAGTCTATTTGTTCCTAGATATTTTTTCTCTTCTTCCCGCATCTGAAGCAAGGGCTGGGCCAGGGGGCACTGGGTTAAGCCAGCCCTAACTTTTTCTAAGCCAGGCATCATCACTGTGAACTCTCCTTTTGTCCACCAGAGGCAAGAGGGAGATTTCTAGAGGGCACCTCACTGGTCCAGTGAATTCTAGCGGGGTGAACTGGCTCCCATGGTGAAAGCACAAGCTGAGTCAGCTCTTCTAGGGAGCCTCGTTGCTGCGGTATTTCGCTTGCATTCTCGATCTTGCCCAATCTTACCGAGACATCTGGCTGATTACCCAGAACCAGGGGCACAGGGAGCTCTCCTTGCATTGCCATTTTCAGTGTGGCCCGGTCTGTGCGCTGGTTTTCTTTGGTCATGCTTATTACTACCACGTTCTCTTCAAAATCAGCCATCGTCCCTTAAGTGCCAGTTCCATTTCCTCTGTCCATTTTTCACCTTCCTTGACATCATGTGGTGAGGATCCCGTTGGGAGGCCCCTGTCTGGGTTACCCTCCTTCCTCCTGGGGGCATTCTTTAACCTGCACAGCGCTTCCTCTTTCTTCTCTCCTTTGACCTTGGGTGTGACCCCAAATCTTACTCCTGGTCCTCTTGTCACCTCTCTCCTGACATCATCCTTTGGTAAACACCAACCCCTGCTTACATATCATGACTCCGCGAATGACACTTGAAACTGTGCCTCAAACCCTGCATTTTCTCATGGCAAGAAGACACGAGCCCATAGAGTACCATACAAAGATGTGAGAGCTGGACAGAGATACTAGATTCACAATTTAATGAACTGGCGGAGCCCTATAAACACGCCTGAGGTCATCTGATTTCACTGCGGTGGAGAGCTTACCAGTTTGCAGGAATCCACCTTCCCTTTCTTCTCTTCCACCTCTTCGTGTTTCCACTAGTCAACCTGAGCTGCTGTAAGCTCTCTTTCCTCCTGACCCTGCATCCAAAATTACTTGCCCTGCTTCCCAAACCCCATCTCCCCGTGATTTTGTCTATCAAACGCTACCCTTACTACAGCATACGTGAAATACTGGTTCTCCATCTCCCTAAAATGAAAGGAAACTGTGATCATCAAAGAGACGCTGGGATGGATGAGAGAGTGGGCCTCCAATGGCCCAGCACCCTAGGTGCGCAGTGGGACCTGCTCACGGACTTCAGGGGACAAAAACAACAGGCTTACGCTTTCTATCTACTGCCCACCTCTCCTTGCCAACATGTGGTAAAACCCAACATGGCAAAAACTTAGTGTTCTGTAGGAAGAAATTCAATGAAAACTTTAAACCATTTTTTCAAAAAAAGAGTCCTACTCCAAAACAAGTTCAAAGTATCCACTGGTAATTTGAGAGGCATAATAGCCAGTTTGACCCTGTTAAAATTCCTTGGACAATGACTTCTTTTAGACTTTATAGAAAATTTTTGGTTTAAAGGACAACTGTTTTTATTACCAAAATGAATAATCCATTCTTATAGCATTGACTCTATCTGCCTCCCAACATAAGTTGGGAATATTCTCAGAATTCCCCAAATTCTCTTTCATTGTGGTTAAATTTCAGTTAAAACTTAATGACAAATACAACTATGCCCCAAAATTTTTTATGCTTTTATGTTTTTTCCCTGTTATCAAGGTATCCTGAAGGAGAAAAAAAAAATGGAAACCTGGGAACTTGTGTTGGCAAATAACATGGCATGCAGTCTAATAATCAGCCCATAAATGAATATCTCCTTTTAATTTATTATTAATCATCAGGGGTGCTGGAAAAAGATGCTAGTGGCACAAGACATTCTATTTTCAGGCCTCCTAAAACTAAACGTTTGCTTCGTCTACCAGGCTGCTTTTACAGGTTGCAAGGAAAATCCATATTTATTGGGAATTTGCGTTCAGATCATCCCCAACTTATGAAGGTTAGACTTACTTTTTTTTACATAGATGATACACATGCAGAAGAAATCATTTTTAAATTCCAGCCTCTGCTCTTTTCCTGGCCTGGGTGTAAGCAGTATGTGACTCCTTCGTGGTGTGAGCCGCACAAACCGGAGGAAAAGCATCAGGTCCTCTGCCGTGTGTGGTCCAGGGGAACTTGCATGTGTGGAAGGTTTGTGACCTTAGATACAGTTTCCATTTCCAGTTCCAGGCTCTTGGTGGGTATATGGAGCCATAGCCCTGCTGTTAGTTAAGGAGCTTCTGTACTTGCATCTAATGTGTACACAGTGGTTTATAAAATTCAAGTTGCAATGGTGCAGGGTCTGGCTAGGACACAGCAGCCGTCCGTCACACATCCCTCCATGCAGAGGTGGGCACAGTGGGTGCTGGGACTCCCAGGCCATGATTCTGGGCTCCATGATGCCAAGCTTCCTCGTGATCCCTGGCCATAATCGTAGCTGGCAGACCTGTGAGAGCTCAGATTTGTTCTTGTTACAGAGTGCAATAATCCCACCATTATGTGACGTGATAACACATTTGCATGTAAATAATGGATGCTTATGACAATTTGATAAGGCATTAGCAAACCATCCCAAGGCTCATTCTTGTCTTGCAGGTATAAAATGTCCTTATTAAAAGTTATGGGAAGTATCTGGTCACTGGTATATCATTGGTACCTGCAAAATAGCAACACTGTGTTATTAACCCTGAAGGTTTTTATTCATTCCTCTGAAGCTCTGAAGATAGGTTTGTGTGAGGCTTTCTTTGGGGGGGTAGCAGAGTACTGGGGATTGAACATAGGGCCTTTGCACTAAGCTACACTCCTAGCCTTTTTTATATTTTTTATTTTGATATAGGGTCTCATTATGTCCTTAAATTGGCTTGAACTTTCAAACCTCCGACCTCAGCCACCCAGAGTACCAGAATTACAGACGTGTGCCACCACACCGGCTTGTATGAGGCCATATGCCACTGAAAATTGACCAGCCCATCTTCCTTTGACTTCAACTTGTCACTGTCTCTACCAATGACCTATCCCAGTCTTTCTGATTCTGGGAAACCCTGGTGGTGTCATGGTGAGAAACCACAGCTCGAACCTACTCCCGTAAAGCTACTTTCTTTGCTAAAGAGCAGGGGCCCTGTTGGCCTTGTTCCCCTCTCGTTCCCTAGGCCCAGACCCAGGCCAGGCCCGGCACATAGTAGGCACTCAGCATCAGCACACACCCTTCTGGCTCCTGCCCCGGCCATGTCTTTTCAGTCCTTAGATTTCCTCTGTTCCCTTAGATTCCACACTACTTGCCCATCCTCTCCCAGGTCATGTAAGGCGCTCCGCTGGGGACAGGGACTTGGCCAGCACCGGGTCTCCCTCCCACACAGTACCTCCTGGGAGTCGCCGGGAGGCCTTCTCCATTCGTCCTCAGAAAACACATCCTTTGCACGCAGGAAACAGTCACACCGCTTAGGTGGTCTCAGAATTTTCTGGAATGAAGAAGTTCTGCAAATGACCATGTCACTTCACAGAGTTCAGTAAACGTCCTGCGAGTGCTAACAACTATTTGTTACTGTCTTCAAATGCATGACATTGGAAGCTATGTTCACTGTTTTATTTTAAAGTGATGGCTTTCTAGGAGAAGTTTAACTGACTTTTCTATTTCTTATCTGTGCCCAACCACAAACAAAAGGAAACCAGCAGTCCCTTTATGAAGCTTTGGGTTGCCAGCACCGCCGTTGAGTCCTTTTGATTATGCAGGGCACGCCCACTGTTAATTATCCTGGTTGGTAGCCAGGCGGGAGGAAGGGGTGATAAGGAAGACTGACTGAAGCTTGGGAAATCCCCATTCCGGGACAGACAGGAAGTCACGGCCTGGCCTTTGACTGACCTTGAGTTTCTTCTCACCTTCCTGGGCCCCTCCTTTGACTCCCTTCCCCCACTTTCAGTCACTCTCAAACTCTCCTGAGGGGTCAGTGCCAGGAGGAGAGCCTCGGGAGAAGTGGGCAGCCGTTTTCCCCACAGTCGTGTGGGAATCATAGGATGTGAAGGGAGAAATGATATAGAGTTATATTATTTCACCCCATTAATCCATTTTTTCAAGTAACAAAAGTCTAGCCCAGAGTGGTTAAGGGATGAGTCAGGACTAGAATGGAATCCTGAAGGACCAGGAGTCCTCCAGACATCGCCCACACATGGGTCCCAGCGCGGCTCCGGCTTCTGCTGTGAGCCTGGCATCGGGTGGGGCATGATGGGAAGAGGTGAAGGGTGCTTCCGCATGCTTTGACTTGAGCTTCCTGACTTCTAACACAAGTTGTAAAAGTTCATCACCACTGGCCATGCCAAAAATGCAAATGAAAACAACACTGAGATGCCATTTTACCCCAGACAGAAGGGTGGTCATCATCAAGAAATCAAATAATAACAAATGCTGGTGAGGCTGTGGGGAAAAGGAACCTTCTGCACTGTTGGTGGGAGTGTAGACTAGTACAGCCATGATGGAAATCAGTGTGGAGATTCCTCAAAGAACTAAAAGTAGAAATTCTATATAACCCAGCTATTCCCCTGTTAGGTATCTTCTGAAAGAGAGAAACACACCATATTACAGTGATACATGCATACCCAGTTTATAGTAGCACAATTCATAAGAGCTAAATCTTGGGAGCCTATATGTCCATATACAGGTGAATGGATAAAGAAAATGTGGTATTTATACACAATGGAGTACTATTCTGCCATAAAGAAGGATACCTTTGAGTCATTTGTAGGAAAAATGGATCCACTTTGAAAACATAATGTTAAGTAAAATAAATCAGACACACAAGCTTAAATATCCTATGGTCTTTAACATATGAGAAATCCAAAGTATAAAGTAAAGAGCAGGGCCAGGGCTATAGCTCAGCAGCAGAGTCTGCCTGGCAAGCACAAGGTCCTGAGTTCGATTCCCAATACCAAAGAAATAAAATAAAATAAAAATAAAGAGCAAAATAAAAGATAAACAAAAGGAAACACGGAGATAGACCTTTTGCAAATGAGAAAGAGACCAGGAGACGGAGGAAAGGGCATCTGGAGGAATGGGACATAAAAAGAAGGAAGATGTGTTATGTACATGGACCAAACACCTGCCATGGAAGTAATCATTATGTATCACAAATACCTACTGTACTAATAAAAAAGAAAGCAGAAATAGGCAAAAAGGTGATACTTAGCTTAAATATTAATGTAGCTTTCTAGTCATACCAGAATTCCCCTTGACTTTAGCTCAGTGATGACCAAACCTCATCTGAGGTAATTTTTCTGAAGGATTTAATTACCTAATTAGCTTGGCTTTTTAGACTAGCCTTAGAGGTTCCCACTGACTCCGTGTTCTGATAAAGCTCCAACACTGTCAGATCACAGCAAAGATACGTGAAGTCAGGCTGCTTAAGGGTGCTACACTGAGAGGCACCCATAAATAAGTAGTTGAGGAGCCTAGAGGCCAGAACACGAAGGACAAAGAACGTTCCACAGTCTGGAACGTCGAGCACTGGCCTGGCGCTGCTGGGAGAAATGGAATCTCATCCAGGAAACCACGAAGATGGGACATTCTGGTGACAGTTCAGAATCTCGGCCACCTGCTGTGCCTAACTGATGTGTCAGAAGGGAACCATGTTTCTTCCCAGGGTCTCCAGGTTCCTTCAAAATTAGTTCTCTTTCTTGATTAGTAAATGCATTTCTACCAAGCACACCAGTTAGCAATCCCAGCCTTACTGGTCTTACTAACATTACTCTGAGCCATAGAGTCTCTTTAAATTGACATTCCTTATGAGTAATGTCTCAAGTAAATATCATGTGTGGCTGTATTTGGAGAGGACCTTAGTTAAAATGTCAGCTCTGTGTCCTTGACAGTAACACCATAAGTTTTCATAGTCTTGTTGTAAAATGAAAATAATAAGGTCTATTCTATAAAGCTTGTGCTTGCGTCTTAACTGACACATAGTAATCGTACATATCTGTGATGTATAATGCGATATTTTGATACACGTATGCAATTTGTGATGATCACTGAGGGTAATGGGCCTCAAATATCATTTCTTCATATTGAAAACATTCAACATCCTTTCTTCTATTTTTTTTAATTTATTTAAAAGAGTAAAAGAAGGATAACATAGTAATAGGGGGATTTACTGAATTACAGACAAAGTGGTAGGACATTATCAATGGCTGTTATTTTACCTATTGGTATCTTCAAGATAGTTTCTCAGGAAAACAAATAGACAAATAATAATGAGTTACAGACAACATGGTAGGAAATTATCAATGGTTGTTGTACTATATTTTGGTTTCTTCAAAGTGGTTTCTAGGGAAAACAAATAGAGCTATACATGAGTGATCAATTAAATAATCATTGACTATTCTCAGTGGTTGTTGTTGAAAACGCATAGTAATAAACATATACCCATTTATGAAATAGCATAGAAACAATAAAAACATTACAGAGTTATGGACAGATTGGTAGGAAATTATCATTGGCTGCTGTTAAACATGTTCGTATCTTCAAAGTGGTTTCTCAGGAAAACAAAGATATGCAAGAAAGATCTAACAAGTAGTTACAACCCAAGGGTTGTGAAAAATAGCAGATTACCTCCTCATCAGTGACTCTTTTCACTGAGGTGTAATGGCTGGAAGGAAGTCCAGGATTGAAAAGAAGGACCAAGAGACTAGCACCAGTGTCCAGCAACAGGCTGTTTACTTTTTCCTCTATAGTCATGATTACCAGGGGGTTCCTCCTTGAAGATAACAGTCTGGCCAGAGGGAGAAGGCAGAGTATGCCCTGGGCACCTTCATTCCTGTTGGATCAGCTGGTAAGAGGGGTCTGAGCTCTGGGGCCTCCACTTCAGAGGGCAGTCCAACCTCTAGTGGTCACCTTTATAGTCAGGGCATGGCCCAGGGGGCTTCTTAGGGCAGTCCCTCTTGAGGTGGTCTGGCTTTTGACAGTGGTAGCAGATGAATGTAGTCAATGAGTTCTTCTTGGGACCCCAAGAGTCAGACTTAGGGTCTGTTTCTCTTAGTGCTGCAACAAAGGCCAGTGTTTTTCCTCTGTCTCTTTGTTTTCTCTCCTTGGCGTCCTCCTCCTCATGGCTATAAAAAACTAAGGAAGCAATTCTTACTAACATCTCAAGTGAGCTATCTGGGGCAAAAGCCATTTTTTGTATCTTTTTTCTACTATTTGGGGCTGACTGAGTAATAAACTTATCTTTAAGAATAGTTTGTTCCTCTACTGACCTGGGATCCAGGGAAGTATGCTTTATCAATGCCTCTTGGCTAAGAAAGCAGAGGGGTATTCTCTCCAGCCTCCCACCACATTGGGATCCCACAACTACTTAGTGTCCTCTCCTCAACCATCAACACAGGCAGCAGGAACATGTGGATGAAGTCCTCAACCCACAAATCAGTCTCAGCACCATCAGGTGCAAAGTGTCCCAGGCAGGTAACCTAGACACATACCTTCTCCATGAAGGTGGTTCTTCAAAATCTGAATATTGGACACCTATTTAATCCATGAAGTCTCCAGAGCTCCACTCACTCCTCCATCACAGCCTGCACAGTTAGGAGAAGAATGGCCTCCAGGGGGTCTCCCCAGGTATTTTGCGCAAGGTTCTCCTGGTTTCCAGCTCCTGAACGGCTCCCACCTCCCCAGTCAGCTCGACCTCTGAGTCATTGGGCGTCAGTACTTTCGTGTTCACTGAGTCCTTGTTCATCAGCTGCTCCTCTGCTGACTCTGGGCATCTCTGGCTCTCAAGGGCAGGGCCAAGAGTGACCCATTGTGTGGCATGTTTTCCCAGAGGTTTCCCCATGTCGGGATGGTTCATGCATGTCTCTGGGCGGGTCTGTTGTGTCAATGCTTCTCTATGGCATGGCGTTTCTTGGGCAGCGGCCGGCCCGATGGCCGGCACATGTCTCCACTCCACTTCCTGGGTGCCTGCTGCCTGCCTTTCCAGGCACCTGCATGGCCGGGTGCCCTATCTTCTATTTTGAAATATATAATAAGCTACTGTTAACTACCCGCCACCGCAGAGTAGAATGCTAGAACTTAGTCCTACCAGTTGGTTATTATCATATCCCACTTTTGCTCTCTGTAACACCACAGACAGTATGTTCACTGTACAGAACAACTTCATCAGGCAGTGCGTGTCTTAAAACACATGGAAACATCTCCAGCAGATGCAGTGGCAATTAAACTTCTAAGTCATTTCCAAGTTTAAAACACAATTAGTCAACTACGATATTTGCACCTCACCTATATTTTTAACTATAGTTTATAACCATAAAAATTAAAATTTTTTCCTTTGAAAAATACCAACCTATGAAGGAGTTTTAAAAACTGGATCAGCTCCATAAGGCTTTAAGGTTATCAAATGAAGCAATGTACATATTTTTAGGTGACTAAGTGGAAATTCATGCATAAAATTTCAAATAATCTTGACCTTGTGACTTCTAAATTCTTGGAGCAATATTTTATGTTGTCCCTTTTCATTAAACTTTACAATTAAAAGTTAAAACATTAAAGTTTTATTATAATCATTATCAGAATTTTTCCCATGCATACCTGGAACACTATAACATCTCAGGACTGTGCTTAGATCCTACATGCATAGATCAAGTAAAACGTTGCAAAGGAATCACTTTTTCTTGACACATTTCCAGGAGGAACAGCTATGAAGAAAAAATTGTAACAAATGCTAAAAGAGAATGCATCTTCAGACTTTTCTGTACAGGAGTCTGAAATCCTTGAGTAATGGTCAAAAAAAGGGAGAACATCCAGACATGTTGTGGTTTAAAGATTCTATAAGAATGTCATAAATTTGTCATTTCTGTAGCACTTAAGTTTCATCTCCAACAGGATCAAGCAGATCTGTTACAAAGAGCCATGCAGCAATGCACAGATCTTGGAGCATGTGTGCTTAATGGAGACCATGATGGCCCCTTCATGGGTGGACTGGGGTGCTACCCAGTAAATCAATGGGGTTCACAGAGGAAGTACAGACCCCTTCTGGTTTCAACCTGTGGAGGTCAGGGTCTCCCCTGCAGTCCTGCAGAAAACCTGATACACCAAGGCATTTTCCACAGCTTGCTTCAATGTGGCTGCCGGCTTCCCCCGGAAGTCTCCACCAGCTGGGTCACAGGGCTCTGGCACAGCTGAGGAGCGTGGACATAGGGCTACACTGGGCCTGCTGATAGCCTGGCTTTTCTTGAGAAAGAAGGAAGGATACTCATCAACTTGCTGAGAAATCCCTTGCCAGAGTTGAAAAACAATGAGAGCTCTTTCTGCAGAACAGAGTATGTATCAGTTACAGAGTACATCATGACTGCATCTCAGTCCTCCAAATCAGCTGGTCAATTTTCAACTTCCTACTCTTAAAATGGACAAAAAAGGAACGGGAATGCGAGAGGAAGGCTGGCTCTAAAACTGCCAAAAAGGGTAAAGAAACTCCAAAATCACAGTGTAGTGTCCTTTGAAAACAGTAAGCATGTAACACTGTGTTAAGTGGCCTTCTGTACACCCATCGGCTAGGCTGTCTCACTGAAAATTCTGCTTGCAATAGGAGAAACTCAAGTATTGAGAGACAGACACGTCCAAGGTCCCATGATCTTGGGTGCACTGTACAAGGTGCTGGCCTGACATTTCCCATTATCTTTGCAATATGTAACTGGATTCTATAGGCTCCAGTAACTTGGGAGGTAAATGGGGTCACAGATAAGACACAGGACTTCCAATTAATGTACATTTGGGGTCAATGAAAGTAACTTAAATACAAGAATGGCCTGTGCTATATTTGGAGCATACTTATGCTAAAACTTGATTCAGTGTTTCTCTGAAATCCAAATCCAACTGGGTGGCATGCATTTTTTATCAGCTAAATTTGCCAATGCTCCCAGGTCCTGTGATCACTTATTGGTGACAAATCTTGGGTTTTTTCTTCCAGCCCATGGCAGGACATTGAGTATCACCTATATCCCATAAACACAGCATTCTCAGCTATTATGTAGCATCCTCCAATTTCCTCTTCCCTGCTTTGGCTTCTGCCTCTCTGTGGAGGCCATGACCTGGTGAATCTTCGGATACCTGGGAGGCCCCATGCATGTCCTTCTACAGTGCATCTCGACCAGCATCATTTTCCTCAGAAGCTGCTCAAGTTGCAGTGTGCCATTGGCAAACAGTGGTGGCTTTGGATTATCAAGGGCCCCTTTAGGTAGCAAGAGTTTTGGTGTTAGCGAGGAGAAAGATCTTTACCAAGGTGCTCTCTTGGTAGAACCAGTTTTGGGGAGCTAGCTGTCTCTTTTACCCTCTGCCCTTAAGCCCCCGGCAGGGACTTCTTTTCTCTACTTCCTGCCTCTTTTCCTTCTTTAAGTTAATTGTTTTAGGTGAATTGTTACAGCTATGGAAAGGTGACTAACACATGTATGTTTAAAGGGACGGA